GAACCAGCACAGTGTCTGATGCTGTAACGGGCAGGTGCAGCCCATTTCTTTAATATGTCCAGCAAAAGAGATAAATTGTTGTTATTGCAAGGAAGTGCAAAATTGGTGGATGTGCTCTAGTGATGCTCTTTGGGATGGGAAAATGCTTCTGAAAAGTAAGTGTTGAATGTCGAGTGTGAAGGTGCAGAGTAGGCATTAGCATGATTTCTGATCCCTTGGTTAAATTCTTGGCAGACCTTTAATTTTAGAACAAGACAACAAGGGCTGAGATTTGCAGGCTCAGTCTAATTCATTACTGGCTTAATTAGATGCTTGAGAATTCAGGTGGCCTTGACAGTTCTTGTGACTCTGCACATTATGCCTGCTCTGTAGCAGTCTGCTGGGCTTCTCCAGCAGAAATTTGAAGATAACTTCATTGAAATGTATTGAAAATGTTAACAGTTTAATTTGTGTTTTCATCTTGGATTGGACAGGCTGACAGCTCCCAGTTGCTGGAGATGTACAGGAACTGGGAGGAGGGATTCCTTGGGTGTTTTGCAGAAACTTGCACCTTGTTGTGGATGTTGGAGCAAGCGAGGGGTGCAGGCTCTCTGGGCTCATCATGCAGAGACTCCCAGGGCTGAAATTCCCAGAACCTGGGCATTTTGGGAAGGTGGCATGCTTGGCTCTCCTGTCTTCAGGAGCAGCTTTGCTTTGGTAGACCCAATACCAGAAGCTCTGCTTTTCCTTGGATCTGTCTGACATGCCTGCCTTCTCCCTGTCTTGGTCAGCCCAGGGTGGGGGGGGGAGAGGAGTTTGGGGCATTTGGGGAAGCCCCAGCCCATGGGAGGGCTGTGGCAGAGCTCAGCAGGGAGTACAGCAGGTTTCTGAAGTCCCGTGGGACTGGCTGGAACTCTCCACTTCCCCTGAGAGCAGCAGCGGTCCCAGCTGTAACGTTTTTAACTCTTGAATTTGGAACAGACTTAGAAGCTCACCTTTGGGGGTGGTAGCTTGTTAAGTTGTCAATACTATTGCCTGTAACCATCTGCTCCTACCACTAAGTAGCTGCAAAAATCAGTAATTCATTCTTTATTTTTTTGAGGAGCTTGGGTGTAAGTCTTCTCTCTTGTTATTTTTATGGGCTCTGTTGTTAAACAGGCAAGTGTCTCCACAGGGCTGGAGAGGCAAAGTGACATCATTTATTTAATTGTCCATCTAAATTTATTTCATATTTAAATCCAAATAGTTACCAGTATTAGAGGTTACTCTGGAGCACAGCAGCTGTTTCTGGTGAAGTCAGTGGGTGAGTCTCTTATCAAACAGAAATGTGCTTGTGTAACATCCATCACCTTTCTGGGTTAACCCCTCTGAAGAGGAAAGGAGGTGACAGGCACCTGCACCATCTGTTTGAGGAAACCACCACTGTAAAGGGGTGCTCTGCTTACTTTTGCAAGTCAAGCTTGCAATGGATTCTTACTTATTACTTATTTTTGTCCAAGTTGATTAATCATCCAAGTGGGCTGGTTTTGGTAGTTCTGATGTTAACTGGTTATAATTGGGGTCACAGAGGGGAGAGGTGGCTGTTGTGTGGGAGTCATGGGGACATGGAAGCAGCATCAATTGTCAGACAGACTGTGTGTTGTACCCCGAGTTATCCAGGGCTGGGCTTTCACTCCTGGATTTAAATTGCAGAATAAAAAAGATATTGACACCTAATGGTGTTTTGGGACATAGCATCCCAGTTACTGGGGGTGCCTTCAGTGCTGTGTAGTGATGATTCTTTAACTCCAGAAGGACTTCCCAGCCTGAGGTCTGGTGCTTCATAGTGCTTTTACTCCCTTCCTGCATCACTGGACTTCCTTTTTCCAAATTTTACTTTGGTGGTTACCTAAACTACAGCGTGTGTTCCTGAGGGTTCTGGAGAGGTATGTCCAGTTTTCCCAGCTTTGTACCTTTTGCCATCGGAGGTGAACACGCAGAAGTTGGGTTTTGTCTGATCTAAAAAAACAACTACTGGATTTTGATGGAGTTGCAGTGTGATGCCCGTGTCTGGGCTCATCCAACAGTACAGAAATGAAAAATAGGCTTATCTTGCAATAATGTACTGACAGCAGTGGCCTGTCTGGCTCTGCTCCCTGCTCGGGGTGTGCTAGTGCCCTTTGTATCTCTGTGGGCTTTGCTGGGAACAGTGGGTTGTGAGGCTGGCATGTGGGTAGGGGAACAGCCCTGATACAGTGAGGAAACAGGGAAGCTCTTGGAGGACTTAGTCCCAGCTGTAATTAATGGTTTGGAGGATTTGCAGGGTAGGAGTGGGCTGTGAGGGTTGACAGAGCAGCCCAGAATGGTGCATCTGTTGTTCCTGGCGCCTGTAGCTGCCAAAAACAAGGACCTGGCATGTGACTACCAGTTCTTCCTGTGCCCTTAGAAAATGTGAATATTTGCAGACTTCAAAGGTTTTTAGTCTACAAGTTGTTCTGCATCTTGCTGGGAGCCTTGGACTCTATGGGGCAGAGCTCAGGTGTTTTAAAAGGACCTTATCTGTGACTTTCCTTGGCTTCAAATGGTAACATTTAACTTTAATTCTGAATTTCTAGGCAGTCTTGACATTTGGTTTGCTTCCAGGCCTGGTGACAGGCAGGATGGCAGCCTGTGGATTGGGTGTGCTTGGGAACCTTGAGCTGTTCCTCAGGCTGAGGAGCAGCTGAGCTCCAGCAGTTGGCCAGGTATCCACCAGGAGCAAGTCTGAGGGGGAATACTTGGGAAAACTGCAAAAATGAGAAGAGGTGGCCAGTCTGATGGAGGTGGGTAGGTATGGCAGGAGGAGTTATTGGACTTTGGTAATTTTTGTCCTTTTACGTATTTTTTCAGCTTTTTAAACTAACTGTAAAAGGATTCAAGGGTCAATGTTGAATAGCTCTGGTTATTCTCTGCTGGACCTGGACTTACTGCTCATGTCCTATAAGAATTATACTTCCTTTTTGTGTTCCACAGTCAGAAGATAATTATTTTGTTGTCTTCAGTAGTTTTTACCTCATTCTTGTAGTCTTGCCAATATCCTGTGTTTGTTTTTTGCAGGAAGCCTTTCAACGTTTTCTTAATTGGAATTAAGTGTTGTAATAGAAATGCACATTTTGGTTGGAGATAATGTAGGAAATAAATATTCATAAATTTATTTTCAGTTAGTGGAAAAACATTCATTGGAGATCTTTGCTTTGAGACTTTAACTTCTGAGAGTTCTAGTGAAAGCTTTCTCTGCTATTGGGTAATAACAGAGGGAAAAGACCAACTTCACTGCTCCTGATTTATGTTGAGCAACTGTTGTCAGAAACTCAGTCTGCTTGTTACTCTGTTGTAGATGATGTTAATTGACATCATGACACAGATTTAATGCTGTATGAAAGTTACACGGAGTAAGAATCAGATGACAACAGGTAAAACAAAACAGAATAATGAAAACAAATGTATTATGAAATAGTGTCATGTGTTCCTTTCCTGTCAGGAAAACATCTGGCCATAGCAGCTGGCCAGGCCTGAATCCTTTTTTCCTCTAGTTTTTACGGATGCTTTTACAGGAGTCTGAAAGGAGATCTGTGCCTAACAGAACTGGTAGCAGGGAGGTAGCAGCTCCTCTGGGCTTTGCACTCAGCGAGGTAGCACACAGCTAGATTCTCCTTTCTTTCTCCCTGCAGCATCTTGGTTGTTTAGTGCTCTAATGTAGGAAGTATCTGAATATGTGAATTACATACTTGAAGGTTTGGTTAAAGATGCAGAAATTTTCCTCATTCCCTTGACCTGAATCTTGCTGAAGACAGAAAAGCATTTAAAATACCTACAGCTCTGGGCGTGTGCAGCTCTGTGCCTACATGCATATGTATTTTTAAATGTCCCCTGTTTCAAGGTCGTCGACAATTAAAGTCGAAGTGCAGATTGGATTTCCTGTAGCAAGATACCTGTTAATTCAGGCTAATTCCTCTGCTCTGCGAGGAGTGCAGGATGGGGAGCAAAGGGGAGGTTTCTATCAAGTGTTGTGTGGTGCCTTGTACCTGCCCGGGTGAGAAGAAGGTGGATTGACACTCTCTCCTCCCACAGCAGCTCCCTCAGAGCTGCTTCGTCTATTTTTTTTCATAATTGCAAAACAGCACCAAGCTTTGAGACACTCCTGTGTGAGCTCAGGCAGTGATGAGCAAGAGGATTAATTGGATCTTCAAGACAGATAGCTGGAGCAATGAGCTGGTGCATAATAGCAGCCTGGAATTCCAGTGACGTGCGGGCGCTGTGCAACGCGCGGGCCTTGGCATCGCTCAGCCTCGCATGCCCAGATGCCTCCGGGCACTGGAGCAACATCTAGTAAGCAAATTATGTGAACAAAAAAGCTCAACTTTGATGGTTTAGCAGACACCAGAATAGCTGTCAGTGAAACGATTTGCTGCCAGTGTGATCACCTATTGGGAGTGTCCTGGTACGTCAAGCTTAGTGTCTGAACTTTGATTCCTCCAAGGTGCTGCTGAACACACAGACTTAATGGTTGGTAAAGCTAAAGTAAGAAAAAAACCCCAACAATTGGGAATCAAATCAGATTGCCAGTATAGGGGTTTTCTGTATTCTTACTGTACCAGCTGTGTACTTCTGGGCAGGGACACAGGCAAGTCTGCCTTCTTTCCCAACACTGCACTGCCAGTAATTCTGCCCAGCAGAAGGTGGTGGCTTTAAGGTGAGGTGTCACTACAGTGGATGCTTTTGCTAGGGAAATTTTTGTTTAAAATAAAAAAAATCTTCCCCGTGTAGGGCTTTCCTTTGCTCACAGCAGTGGTTTCTAGATTCATATTTAATTTTCAGTAGCTCAGAGGAATGAAGAAAATACTAGACTTTATTTTTTTTGTATAGTCTTTGGAACAGCTCTTGGATATAAACAAGGAGGACAGAGTGTACTGGGCAAAGCAGTGAGACATTTTTTTGTTAAAACCATAAGTATTCATGGCTTTAATGTTTGAAGGTAGAGACCAGTGAAGTCCCTCACATACCTCAGAGTAGTTGTAGTTACCCCTGGTATTTTCCAGTGCCTTTTCCACCATGATCCCTTGTAGCTTTACCTCTGGATACATATTGAGATTTTTTTTTTCTTTTCCATGATTGAGAACCTTGCATTTCTGATGACAGTGAAGAGCTGTGCTCTGGAGCTGAGGAGAAAGCTTGTTCATAATTCAAGACATGGTTCTGGAGAGGCTTCAATTAAAAGGTGCTGAAAAAGGTGCTGTATTTTGCAGTTTTGCAAAGTTGGATTTTTTTTCACTGTTAAAACCTTGGGGATCCCTGGGAAAGGAGGTTGATTCTGGTGGTTTTTTTCTGCTGGGTGAGTAGGAATTTAAAATTTCACCCCCCCTCCTTTGACCTAGTTCTGAAACCCTTGCCTGAAAAAGTATTAATTTGTGGATTTCAAGCCATTTTAGTATTAGAATTGTGGAGCAGTGTGTGTTTTTCTGTAGAGCCACCTTGAGTTTAGACATTAAAGGATGGTGTGATAAATCTGATGAACTTATTACACTATATATTCCAGTGTGCTATAAACCTTCTTCGTTACTCTGGCATTAATCAATGACTTTGACTTCTTTTTTTCCCCTGCTCAGCCATACTTTCACAAGGTATAATTAAAATAATAAAAAAAAAGCTATAGTTTTCCTTTTTGTTCAACTCTGCTGTTGTTGAACTATGTGTGGTTTGGACTTCAGCCTTCTAGAATGTTGGCAGAAGTTCTTGTCTGGAAAGAAATGGTAATTCTTTTGGGGTTGAAAAATGGGAAAGGAAAGATTGCTGTAGCAGAGATGATTTAAAGCAGAATAAGTCAATATGCATATATATATCTCTCAATGTACACTAAGGTTTGTGCAATTTTATACAGAATGTTCCTCTTTTTTGTTTTTGTCAGGTTTGCTTATTTTTAGTTTATTGCAGCAAATCGTATTTTTAAATCTTTTATGTGACATTTGATGCACTAGCTAAAATTGCAGCAATTGAAATAACTGAACTCCAAATATGATGTTTGGATTCAGCTAAAATGATACGAAAGTGACCTTAAACTATCTTCTAAAGACAAACTGCTTTTCTTTTTGCCTGGAAGCCTTCTGAGTGCAGAGCAGAAGAGAACACCTAGCCCTCCTGAGCTGCTTCTGTCCCCTCCTGGGGTCACAGTTGTAAGCCAGCAGCCTGTGTGCTGGGCTCTGTGCAGGGGAAGTCCTTGCTGAGGAAACAAGGATGGGAGGAGGAGGAGAGGGCACAGTCTGGCCAATCTGCTCAGCCATGGCTGGTGCCTGGGAGCTGTTCTTCTGGAGTACAGGAACCTGGTTGTGTTGGTGTGGTTGAGCTCTGGGCTGTGCCAGCTCCCTGTGTCTGCTCTGGGGTGTTAGCAGCTGCCTCCCAGCTTCATGTTCATTAACGGGATGTAACTTGACAGCCATTAGAAGGGACCTTAGAAACCATTCAGTCTCAACCCCTGCCATGGGCAGGGACACCTCCCGCCAGACCAGGTTGCTCCAAGCCCCATCCAGCCTGGCTTTGGACACTTCCAGGGATGGGGCAGCCACAGTTTCTCCTACCCTGATCCTCCCCCTGCCCAGCAAGCAGTGGGTGCAGGCCAGGCTCTGCTTGGGGCTGTGGGGTTGTGTTTGCAGGCTGGTGAGCCCCTTGGTGGGAGACAGCAAACATGAGATGTTCCATGGCGTGGCTCTGCGTGGCTGTGCTGGTACTTCTGCTTTTGTTTCAAAAACAAGTGTTCTTGTGGAAATAGCAATGTGTGTCTACATACACAAACTGAAAGGGGAAATGGCTGCTTCTTTCAGCTGAGGCAGTTGTCATCTTCTCCTTTCCCTGGGCACAGGAAGAACAGAGGCAGCACTGATGCTTTTTTACTGGCATGATTATTGCCTTGGAAATACTGGAGGTCAGAATAATCTCATAAACCTTTTGGGCTGGGCTTCCCCCCTCCTTCCCCAGCAGAAACATGGACAGCAGCTTTCCCAGCTACTCCTCTCAAAAGAATTAAGTTTTGTTGGTTTTTTTGAGATCTCTATTCAAATTCAGACTCAAGCTTAGAGTTATCCTTAGTCTAACAAGGTTAACTCCTTTGTAGTTTATTCTGTTATTCAGCTCTGTTTTGCTGTGTGGGTGGTGTAACTGCTCTGGCTGTGCCACCAAGTGTGGATAGTGCTTGGCTGCTCCTGGGAAGCTGTGATGCTGGAGCTTGGCTCCTCCAGCCCATTGAGTGGGAGATAAGGCCACAGCACCCAACCCCAGGGGCTTTCCCAAGGTCCACATGTGAAGCTGGGCTGGGATTTGCAGGAGGAGAGTTTTAGCTGGGATTATTTTTTAATGGTGCACCATGAGGACCTGCAGACTTTGAAGAAAGCAGATGTGAAACCGATGGGCGGGCCTCTGCGTGACACCTACAATTCAGAAATGACGAATTTCACTCCTTGATTTCACTGTAGGGGAATAATGCTAACAACTCATTTCTAGAGCTGTTCTAGCAATTTCTCTGCTGAGCTGGGGGTGCGTGTGTCACCTGGGTTTGCATTTAGCAGACCCCTTTGTACCTTTGATTTTGGACAGCAGATGAAGCAGAGTAGTATTGAAGTACTTCAACAAAGAATGTCTCTGGAAGTGGCCAGTGGTCATTCTGGCAGATACTTAAGACCAAAGCTGCTATTGTTTTTCTCTTAGTTAAACAACAGTCAAGCTCATGCTGTGGCTTTTTTCTTTTCAATTGCAGTATAATGTTAGCTTTTATATATCCCCCGGGCCCACACCCGGGTGTGTGGTGGGCCAGCACACAGATGCATTGTTTGGGGTCCTGCATTCCAGGGAGATCAAATACTCCCTTCACCACATCAGCTGCACATCTGCAACTGCTAAACCCTCTGCAGCCCTTCCCAATCCAGGTGCCATGCAATTACTGGGTTAAAGGCATTGAGTGCTGCTGCTTCTAGGTCCTTTCTGTTGAATTCTGCTTTCTTTGATTCACTACAGCTGGTGAAACAGTTAGACTTGGTTCAGGCATGTGTGGAAGAGAGCTCATTTCATGCTTGGAATTGTAATTATGTTCTGTTCTTTCAAGCTGCCAGCAGTAAAAGATGTCTTCCAGTGCATATTATCTAAATAAGCTGAAGTGTTTAAATGTTTTCTTATTTCATTTTAAGAATGTAGCAAAATAATTTGTGCTTCCTCTTCTAGTTTTGGTTCTGGGGCAGTTAATCCCCTATAGCTCTGTCCGTGATCCAGGCACTCTGGTTGTCTCTGGGAAGCTGCTCGGTTGCGCGGCTTTTAAATCGCCGAGCGAAGGAGAGGGATGTGTGGGAGTCATAAAGGAACTGCCCCAACCTGCCTGCCTGGCACCGGGGTCTCCTCTTATGCCTGGTGTCTGCAGTCTATTCCATCCTAGTTATCTTTTGGACTTAAAATAGTAGTTGCTTCCTTTTAGTGATTTTTTAATCTACTCAACATACGTGAGCTCAATGGATCCGCTTCCCAGTGCCAGTTACAACAGCAGGCACCGCAGGAGTGCTCTGGGTTTACTGCTGCAGGTGGGAGATTCTGGGCATGTAGGTTTCCATGTCACACTCCTGGTACTATCAGCTGGATTTGGGGAGGAAAGAGCCAGACAAGAGCACAGCTGATTTTTTAACTCATGCTCGTGGGTGTATCTGCAGCTTGGATCTGAGTACTCTTGCAGTTAGCACCTATTGCCTCTCTTCTCAACTTCATTTCTCATGTAGTGCCAGCTCTACAGGTCAGATCCTCTCCTTTCTTGGAGGATAAATGCTGTTCCTTAATGTCTGTCTTTCAGTGTCATGATCTTTGGAAGGAACATGTTTACTTAAAGCTGGTTCCCATGATGAGATGAGATGTCCTGTTGACTTGGAGTGGTAACTGGCACTCACTGTGCAGGATCAGTCTCCAGCAGGGAATTTGAAGGCTGCTGTGGGGCACTGCCTTGTCCTCTTGCCTTAGGTAGGGAATGTGCTTCTCCACATATCATCCCAGCAAACAGTTGTTCTTCGAATGGACCTGATCTTCTGGAGGGGTCCCTGCATGTGCTGTGACCCAGGTGAGTTTCTGTGCTCTGGTCCTGGGCTTTTGACTTCCTTACAAAGATTTTACATGCAGCTGTTGCAGCTTTTCTCTGATTTTTGGGTGTCTGGAGTCAGCACTCTGCTCTGCTTTCCCTCGTCTCTGGAGTCTGTCTGCTCATCTTGTGGTCTGGGGCTGAGAGTGCCTGATGGCCATTTCAGTGTCTCTGCGATTGACTGGAAGTCACAGTGGATAAATCTTTCATGATTGGAAACCACTTAAGCCACGAGGTGGCTGATGATCACTGGTTATTAGTGGTGAGGTTCTACCAAACAATCAGGGAAAATGGAGTGGCAGGGCATATAATTTATGATTTCATCCCAGCTCTGTGGGAGCAAGTCAGTGAGAATCGAGACAGTGAAAGAATTATATATTAGACAGATATTTTAAAGAATGACTCCAGTTAGTGTCATTTATTGCTGGAATGTGTGGACAGATCCCAAGTCGGAGCCCTCTTAGGGGCAGTGCCAAAACCAGATATGAAAGAGCATGCAAGAAAATGAAAATGTGGTATGTGGCCGAGGGCTTGAATTTTGTGACAATGGACAAAAAGAATCTTCTAAGGGTTTGGGGTTTTTTCGGCATGTTCCTTTGATAGTAAAGTTTACAGACCCTACGTAGTGTTTGTTGAAACCCCTGCCCGAAGGGGATTTGTTTGAGCTTGTAAATTGAGCAGTAAAGGCATTATCAACACACAGAGAAGAGTAGTTGGAGAAACTTCTGGAAATTAATTTTCTTGCTTATAATGAGAAGTTACAAAAAATGTCCATAAAATTATCTCTAGGCTTATTTGAATTTTTGCCTAGAAGTGATATATGACACAGGAGAAGCCTAGGTCTGTTGCCCTTTGCTGGAATGTGTATTAAAAGTGTCTGGGCTGCTCAGTGCAGTCATATCTTCCTCCACATGCATGTGGAAGATAACTACCCTTAGCTCCCAAGGAGGCAAAAAG